TGCGGCAACCTGCTCCAACAGGTCGGCGTACAGCGTGGGACGCGCAGCCATAGCCTGCGCGGCGCCGGAAAACTCCAGCCAGACGCGCGGGCGTTTCGCGTCTGGCACGCCACCCAGCAGCGCCGCATGGATGCGATCTTCATCGACGTTCGGGAGAGCTGCGAGAAGCTCCGCCCACTCGTCGTCGAGCGCCTCTGGTGTCCACTCGCGCCCGCCGTCGAGGTCGCCCTCGGCAGCGCCGCCCGGGTCGGACACTGACAGCCAGCGCGCAGCTATGGCGGAGGACGCGTACATGCTATCGGCCGCGCAGTCTCCCGCCGCCAATAGCAAAGAGGTTGGCCTGTTCACAGCCTTGTTATGAGAAGAAATACGTCCGATGGTTCACACGGCCTTGTTATGGAAAGAAAATACGTCCTGTGGCGCTATGCGCTGGTCTGTGAGAGGTTGAGGTGCGAGCCCTGGAGGCCCTGGGGATGGGGGGAGACTACCCGCGGGCCTAGAAGGCCCGCGCGCAGGGGGGTGGGGCATTGAGACCGGTCATGAACGAGTGCGCGACACGCATGTTGCGAGCAGCGTTGTTGATGGTTTGCGCGTCGCCACTGACGGCGGCGCGCGAGAGCTGTTGCGAGTGGTGCTGGACGAAGCCCCGGGCGCTTCACAAAACACGACCCGGGACCCAAGACGCACAAGCAAGCACAGACAGTCGAGAAGGGAGAGACAGCAACGACAGGCTTGTTCACGGCCAAATCCAGACACAGAGACAGAGAATCACAGAATCACAGAATCACAAACACAACCGCCCTCCGCCCTCTCCTCCGACACCCTCCAGGACCAGGACGAGCTCCAGCGAAAGCTCGGCCTTTGGCTCTCCGCGGCGCTTCCCACCCTTCGGGTCGCGCTCGAGCGGGGCATGCCAGTCGATTTCTTCGGCGACTACCTTTACAACAAGGCCCACCACCGGCGGCCCCACGACGGCGTCCTCGCCGCCTGGGCGGACGCGATGCGCGCCCCGGCCAACGCGCCGGTCGTGCACGGCGACAAGGAGAAACCAGAGCTCACCCGGCAGTACAACGAGGGGTACAAGACTGACCTCGCAGAACCCCACGCGGGACCGGGAGGATGCGATGACATGAATGAAATCAAGCTCTGGACGCCCCTCCTCAAGACCTCCTCGCCGGGCGTTGGCAACGCCTCGAGTGGCGGCACGCCCGCCTCCGTTGGCCACTCCTACGCCTTTGGCAACACCGAAGAGAAGGCCCGCCGCCTAAACATGGGCTGCAAGGCGCGCGGGCAGCCCGGCCAACCCTTCTCCCACAAGACCGGCCACGGCTACGTCAAGGCGCATCGCGGTTTCTACCACGACGCGATCTTTTGTCAAGCGCAACAACTTCAACCTGCTGCTCCACGAGACGTTCGGCGGCGGCTTCTCGCCCACCGCCGTTCTCAAGCTGCGCCGCCTCGCGCGCAAAGTCGCGCGCGGCAGCGTTGACCGCACGGCCTACTCGCCCAAGTACTCGCTCTCTTTTATGTCCCACCATGCAGAGCGCATCTCTCTCTCTGTTGTGCGAGGCGTGAACCGCGCCATTCGCTCTCACCTGGCAACCCTGTCTGCACGTCTCGCGCGCGCGTGAACAGGGCTCCAGGCCCCAAATGACGCGTGAGTGTTAGATTTGTTTGGTATTGCTAAAAATCTCTCTCTCTCAGAATCACAAAACAGAAAGAAATTAACCAATTTTAGGTTTGTTGTTGGCAGATCACGAACACAATCGGCTACGGGACCGGCCCCAGCTTCGGCTGAGGGCTGACAAGCTGCCGAGCCCAGATCACTGTGACAAAACAAACATCTCTCAGAAAGAAAGAAAGAAAAC